AAGATACTTGACCTTGATTGTCTTTGCATTCTCGTCCAGTTCAAAAATTTTGAGCATTATTTGGCCCTTCACCTACACGTGCTTGATTGAGATCTTGATCAAGGAGCCTCAAGATGTCCTAATGGTATTTAGATCTAGCTGAAGTTTCTCAAATGCGTCCCAAAATAGAACATCTGATGAGCTTTCGGGGTCAATCAGTACCTGTTTTATATCCCAATTGTGACATTGCACTATTATGACCGCGTTATAGTTATTTTGAGGCTGGGTGTCAACGACGTCTCTACTAGAAAAGACGATTTCGGGTTTCCGTTTCTCTTCGAAGTTTGGTTTAGGGACGACAAGCATGCCATTTGTCACTAGAACCTCTTAAGGATACTTTCAGCTAGAAGAGTTGGATTCTCCACCTCAAGCAGACCCTTCGGTTATGGTGAAAATAGGTGCCCGCGCATTGGTAGATATTGTGGCACCTCGCTCCGCCACCATGATGAAAAGGGTGATTGAGGCAATTGATGAGTGAAAATGATATTGGCCCAGGTCAGTTTTACCAAGCCCCGTGGTGGGCGTTAATTGTACTTGCTAATAAGTACAATAAGGGATAACCTCTAATTGTGTAGGTTGTATGTGTTTTGATGGTTTATGATGTATACCAGTAAAAAAAAGAGTACATGTGTGTGTGGTATCCCTGCAAGTGCAATGGATATTCAAAGGTCTTAGTAGGTGTATAACAATTATAGGGTGATTATGGATTGCTTTTGGCAGCGAGAATCTTGTATGGTGATGTTATAGTTGTTATAAAGGACATGCTCACGTGAGGTGAGAGGTTCTGTGTATAAGCATTGTATTTTTGGTGTTATGAGTAAGTTATGATCTATCTTCTCTCCCATTGAGCCTAGGGATTATAAATTCCTTAGAGGCAATAATCACTTCCTCATGACTAGTGGAGGATGTTGACAACATACTTTCTAGAGAGTTGTGATACGTCTCCTTCTCATATGACTAATAAGAGATCAAGGTATTATACATGTAATTTTCCTTAAGGGCGAGTCCGCATGTTTTATAAGGATGTCGCTCGGGCAATAGCCCACAAGGAGGGGGCCCTGGAGTCGCTCCCTGTTTGAAAATCTGACAAATATAACATTACATGATGTGCTAAGAGGCCACCCATGTGAGGGTGGTTGATAGCTCATGTATATGTTTCTGAAAGAATTTTATGAAACCTTTTCTAGTTCTGGGAAGGGAATATATATAAAAAAACCTCTTGCATGGTTTAGAGGACAAAAATGTTGTTTCCTATCTTTTCGATCAACAGCGTGAGGATGTGGGAAGATCTGTCCCTTCCGCAAATCACAAGGATCATTTTTCTCCTTTATACTGTTTTTTATCCTAAAGTAACAAAACAATTGGTTTTTCAAAACCATGAAGTCAGCTAAACAAATCTTCTAGGATCTTAAATGTATCTTTTCTCAATATCATTATCAAGTATAAGCATTGCTTCCATTCTCAAAGTTTTCAGTCAGATAATCATTGCAGAAGAACTTCCTTTAACAATTACACATACTCAATCATCTCTTCGACTCTCACCAATTTCACTAATATTTTCAAAGTAATCATTCAATCAACATTTAAATTTTACTTACTTGCATTGAAGATACAATAAATATCTATTTTGACGTTGAATTATAATGCAATATCATGATAATCAATAATGTTATTTATCACTAATAGAGCGGTTCACGAATGTTGTGTTTCTTTTATAAAAAATATTAAATAAATAAATTTGTCAGTAGTTTGTCACCACGAGTAACAAAAACAATTATAATATAAATATAGGTTTCATTTCAACAATGTAAAACGTTTATTTTCATTGACTCACCACTTAAAGTATATGTAAAATATCTATAACCATATGTAACATATTGTATGGTCTGATGTATTAGAGTTTGGCCTAACACTACCCTACAAAATCGGTTGGTAAGGTGAGGGGTGTCATTCTATATAAACTATTTCAATGCTCTATCTCCAACCAATGTGGGACTTTAGGATCTTTCTAACATGATGAGATAGAGAGAGAGTAAGTTATTGGATTTGTTGCATGTTGCATCGTGAATCGTGATGTTTATTTTGTGAAATTAAAATAGTACTCTTAATAAAAATAGGATTTGATAAATGACATGGTAGGATTATAATTATGTATAATTTATATATTAAAAATATTAAATAATTAGAATTCATTTGTTTAATTTATTTAGTTAATTTGGTAGTTAATAATTTAGGGTTTATTTAAGTTAATTTTACAATTAAATAAAAAAGGGGTTTTCAATTAATTAATCTAATAATTAGTATAAAAAAATCATTTTAATTAATTTTATAATTAATAAAAAAGGTTTTATTTAATTAATTTTATAAAAAGGGTTTTATTAAATTGATCTCATGATTAATAAAAAAGGGGGTTTTATTTAATTAAGTTTATGATTAATATAACAGGGTTTTATTTAATTAATTTTATAGATTATATTAATTCTATGATTAATAGATTGAGATTATTTTAATTATTTTTATAATTTATAAATTTGGGGTTTATCATGATAAATCTATTCAAGGTTTTATTTAATTCATTTAATTAATTTTATAATTAAGTAATTGGAGTTGTTGCCTTAAACTATTTAATTGGTTTGATGATCCAATAATTGAGGATTATTTAAAATGTGAGATGTGGAATATTTTGCTAGAGTTTAGGACTTGATTTACAATGATACGTAATTGGTTTAAAAACTTATTAATTTTTTTATCTTTTATAAATATTAGGGATAAAATTGGGATATAAATGGGATAAAGACTTTGGGAAAAAACTCTTAGAATTCAAGAGTATAAATATAGGATTAGGGATAGGGGATAAGAGTTTTGTAATATAATGATATATATTATTTTCATAATTAAATTAAAAGGAATTTTTAGAAATTAAAAGGGATAAAAAAAAATTCAACACACTTAAATTGTAAGTCCTCTACCCTTGTGTATTGAGCTACTTTTTTGAAAACGAATCTTCCTCCACCCCTATTATGTGAGGATTATTTCAAGGGATAAAATCAATCAACCAACAAAATAAGGGATACGAACTACGAAACTCTGATCCTTTAAACTTGAGGGTACGTAGAGCTTCCCTAGCGAGTACAATAATAAAAAAAAAACTTAGAGTTTCCCTTTCATCAATTATCTTGTAATAATAAGGACTATGTACATAAATAGGCAGAAAAAGCAAACATTCTCTAGCAAGCAATTAACCCTAAAATTTAAGGAAGATCCTATTAGATACAATAGAGGTGAGGGGTGTCTAACACCTTCCTCCTGCCTAACCAACTCCCGAACCTTAGCGTCTCACCCTTATTTTTTATGTTTTATCATTATTTTTCTGCCTCTTAGGATGAATAAAGGATGATAGTGACTCTGATTTTTTGCCGGACGCGACACTCGACATTACTCTCTTCGCCCTTTATATAGCATTCTGACTTTGTGACTACCTCGGCTAGCAAAGAGGCTGGTTGTTGGGTGAGGGATTCGTTAAAGTTGCTTGCTTTGAGACCATTTTGAAATGCCCCTACAAACATTTTTTTGTTTGGATAGACAACTCTTATGGTGACTTCATTGAAACGGGTGAGGTATTCCCTCAGTGACTTCGAGGGATCTATTCAAATGTCAAGCAAACTAGTGGTTTACATTTTTCTATGTCGACTGGTTGCAAATTAGTGCATAAGTTTCTTCACCAGCTCTTAGTAGCTGGCAATGGAAGTTCGGGGTAGGCCCATATACCATCGTATGACTGCACCTCTGAAAATGTTCGAGAAGAGCTTGTACTTCAGAGAATTAGGAGACCCTATGACGGTCATTTGCGTGTTGAGGGAGGCGACATACTTGTAAGGGTCACTACACCCATCAAACTTTGCCAATGAAGAAGGATTAAAATCTTCAAAAATATATGACTCCCATATCTCGTCTGAGAGTGATCGTGGATCCAACACTTCAATTTCTTCTGCAAAGGTGGTTTCCTCTTAGTGTTGATGGATGTTTAGGACATTGTCCTCCAAATTTTAATTATAACAACGCAAATCGTCCAAAACGACACACATTTCTACTATTGCGTTGAAATCCCTGCTACCTCTAATATTCTTTTATGTGAGAGATTATGTTCTCCTAACCACTATAACTGAAAACAATTAGAATTATGAACAAAAGTTTTAAGTGATAAGTGAAGATATAATCTATTTTAGTTTTATCAAAACCTTTATGTAGACGTTATTATACTTGTCAAAAAATAAAGATACATAACACCTCAATGCAAATAGGAATGGCGAGAAGCGTTAAGAAATTAAGATGAATATAATATTAAGCTTTTTAAAATTATAAATTAATTAGTAATTTTTTACAAGTAGTAGAATGAATATAATATATATTACTTACATGAGACTTCAATTATAAGAATCTACTATCCGAAAATGAAAAAGAAAGTGATGAAGGCAAAATTATCGGCGCGTCACGCGGCATTCATAGATACACACTCACTTTAGAGGTTGAAATCAACGGTTTATGTCCACTTGGAGTCACATGGATCACCGACAAAGCCAGCTACAATAATAACTATAATTATTATCATATTTACCAAAATTACAATACACCGCCACTCTTTTTATCCTCTACTCTCTATCTTCCTCTACACCCTCACTCTCTCTTACAACTAACCTCTAATTCTTCTAAACACAATCTAAGAATCAACGATCATGACGTGGCACGTTATGAAAGAAAGACCATGTTACTCAACAATACACCCCATCGCACGTAAACATTTCACACGCGCTTTTATTTTATCTTTTCCCATTCCTCCAACTTTACTCCACTCATCAACATCTCCTTTAATTGAAAATAAATCTCCTCAAATCCCAATCACAATTTCAATTTTCTTTCTTTCATTTCTCATTTCTCATTTCTCATTGTGCTATTCTCTCACTATGGCTTCAAGAGTAGCTTTGTTGGTGTTTCTCTGTGTTCTTCCAGCTATGGTTTCAGCCATCCGCCCAGCCAAGAACCCTTTCTGCTTGAAAGGTCGTGTCGTATGTGACCCTTGCCGTGCCGGTTATGAAACCTCCGCTATAACTCACATTGCTGGTAACTTCTTACGCTTAAAATCTCAGATCTGTTTTTATTTTTTATTTTTAAAGTAGCAACCAAGTTTTCTTGTTTCTTCAATCTCATAATTTTAAGTTTTCACTCAATTTTTTATACCACTTTGATTTCATTCCTATACAGTTAAAAATCTTTAATTTTAAAATATACGATTTTCTTTTGAGATAACGGAGCATCAGATCTGATCTGATACTTTGGTTTAGAAATTAAGCTATTGTCTTATGCATTCATTTGTGTTGGATCTAATAATATAGTCCTATACTTTTATTTTATTTTAATTTTTTTTGTTAGTTTACGTGGTATATTTATTTATTTATTATTATTATTATGTTAAATTATGCTAGCATAGTCAAAGTTTCAAACCGGATTATTTGAAACAATAGATTATTATTATGTTTGATGAATGAATCTGTTTAGGGGCTGAGGTTGCTTTGGAATGCAAGGATAGGATCAGCAACAAAGTGGTGTACACAAAGGCAGGGAAGACGGACCCATCTGGAGAATATACCATGTATGTTGATGAGGATCGCGCAGACAATGTGTGTGATGTGAAGCTAGTAAGGAGTCCTCAAAATAGTTGTAACGAAGCTACACCGGGACGCGACCAAGCACGCGTTATTCTTACCCGTTACAATGGGATCGCTTCTAATGACAGGTTTGCCAATGCCATGTTATTCATGGCAAATGAGGTAGCTTCTGGATGTGCTGAGATACTCCAGAAGATGCGTGAGTTGGATGATGATGAGAATTGATTACTAGTTTATTTACATGGATTTGGGGTTTCTCATGTTATTTGATTCAATCTTGATGGAGTGTTAACTCAACAGTCAGTTTATTATATGCATATGTATGTTATTGGATTTGGACAATGCTAAATTATATATTTGTTGAAGATTATCTGTCTTGGAGTAGAAGATTTAGTCTCAGTTCTGTTAATGTGATATACTATGTTTTTAATTGATGTATGAATTCATCATAGAATGGTTTTCGTTTGGTGAATGGTAATGATTTGTTGCATAGAGTCAATCTTGAATTGACTTTTGTTAAATAATCAGGCAAGTATTAACCAATCATGTTTGTGTCAAGGTATTGTCAAGGGCCATTTTAGTGTAAATATATTGTGTGCATACGTTTGGTTTACCATTTGATTGACTGTCTTCTTTTGGTTTGCCATTTGTTATCTAGTTCAATTCTAGATTCATCTCTAGAGAAAGGGACAAGTTCTCCCAAACCATTATGAATAAATGTCAAAATGACTTGCATATAAATTATTTCCGAAGAGTAACATTTAAGTTGCAAGATTTTTAATGTATAGATTGTTTTTCTAACGAATCATTAACAAACAAAACTGTTTGATTTATGTTTTTTCAATCTAATGAAGCATTCTTCGAAAGCAATCATCCCTCATGTTGAATTTTAAAGTTTTTTCTCTTCGGTCTCACAAAATTAGATACAAAGAATGAAGAAGAAGAAAGTTTATATTTAGTTTAGCTTTCAAGATCCACCCGCCTCGTGAATAAGAAATAGTACATCCTCTTCCTTGGTAACGAGGCAAAACTAGTCTTCTGTAATGGGATAGATTTTGAGAGATTTTAGGAATTTTTTAATACAAGTTATATGTTACTTAGGCACTATACCGAAATACTAAAATGTTAAGATTTTAGAGATATAATGTTAAGATTTTAGAGATATATCACTCCATTTTGTTTGTAGATGCATATTTGTGTACAACAGTTTTAGAGAAAGAAATAAAAGATTTGTAATTTGATAAAATAAAATTAATACTCATAACCAAAAAAATAAGTATTACATAGATTATTTTAACATAAAATATAATATTACACTTCAATATGAAGGTGGACACTTCAATATTTTCATAATATCTTTGACCAATCTTAAAATCGTCGCTTCCAACTCGAGCGGAATGTTTGTTTCAAAACAGAAAAGTGTATTCTAGATAACCCTTACATATGCATCTGTTTTGAACTCAATCTTTTCTCTATTGTCAATCGAAGGCGAACAATACTCGAGCTTCAAGAATTTTTGATTGTCTCCGTAAGCTAGGAGATTATGGACTTCATATTTCAGATGTGCTAGAGCGGTGTGCTTGTTGAGTTTAAGCTTTCGTCTGGGAATGAGACATTTGCGACATATCAGATGATGTTTATTTGTGACATGTGAAACATTTTCTGTTTGTGTGAAGTAAAAATCAGAGTTCCTAAATTTATAGAAGTTGTAGACAAACGTGTATCACAAAAATTCTATCAAGCATTGGTGCTAGTTCCAGAAACGTATCTCAGAAATAACGCACGGTTTTTAGACAGAAAACAAGCTTGATGTGAGCAATAAGGCTTGGAATAAATGATCTTTATTTAGAATTTTAACTTCTTTTACTCTCTTTGATGTGATGAAACACAAGATTGAAACTATGGAGTAAAAATGTGGATTGAGAATAAAAGAGTTTTTGGTGAGAGTTTTGAGCAAAAACATGATTATGTGATCATGTAGGTCCGTGTTTTATTAAATTATTCTGGAGATGCATCTCCGAGAATATCTAACATGCAAATGTGAGATCAAATTTTAAAATTTCGCTCAAACTTCCGAAGATGCATCTTTGGAATAACCATTGGGCTTACTAAATTTCAACGTTTTTGTTGAAAATATCCCGAGATTTATCTCTGGAATTTTTTTAGTGTTCGTATACTAGGTTGGCATTCATTTGATTTGCCATAACGTTTATGCATTTTCAAAATTTAAGAGGCAATTTCAAATTTTTCATTGGGTATTTTTTCAACCTATAGGATGTCATAAGAAATTCTCTATATTTTAAGGGATGTGCAACAAATCTTGCCTTCCAATCTATGTTGATGCCAACATGCGCGTTGCAGATGATGCAAAACCAAAACACTTTTAAAACAATCTTCATCATATGTAATGAATAAGATTTTAAGAGATGTACAATAAATCATCACTTTAACTTCAAATTAATGTTATGTTAATATAATCATCAACCACTTTGCTCTTCCTTTTGGTCGTGAATGACTCTTTTACCAAATTGATCAAGTCTCATTCTTGCTAGAATGTGCCATAAACATATCATCCACATAGAGAAATAGGTAAAGAATATCTTTATCATATTCTTTTTGCTTGAATCCATACAAATATTTATTTCAAAAGACACGTTTTAGACTCGTCCTCTGTAAAATCCTTTGACGATTCTATGTAGTTTATTTGTTCAAGGTCTTTATGTAAGAAAGAGATACTAACATCAATTTTCTCTACCTTAAGATTGTAATGATTCACAATATCCATTAGAACCTTCATGGAATAATGTTTTAGTACACGAGAGAAAATTTAGTTGTAATAAGTTTCCTCTACTTTAGTAAAACTTTTTACCACAAGAATTTTTTTAACTTGTTTCTTCAATTCTCTGAATGTTTTTTTCTTCTTCTTAAAGATTCACTTACATCCAACTATCTTTTGATTCTTAAGCAGGCCTACAAGTTTTCAACGTTTTTTTTTATTTCAATAGATGTATTTTCTCATTCAATACCTTCAATCATTTATTACTTTATTTTTCTATAAAGTTCTTCGGCTCTAAGTCTTGCTATTCTTCAACTACATTAACAAATAAGATTAAAATAGTCATATCTATTCGGTGGAAAAATATCCATATCCAATATATTTCAAGCCAACTGATAGTTATGAGTCATTATAGTAATATGACTAGAAGTCAAAGTTATATCCTTTTCATCGTCTCTAGTCGCACCAGTGAAAAGCTTCACCTCAAACTCAATATTGTTCCCAATCGTCTAATAAAAAGTAACATCACTACTAATCATGAATCTTAATTCTTATAGAGGTTATATCTTCCACTACTTGTAACCTTTCACACCTAATGAATATTCAATGAAGATGCATTTTACAACTATAACATCAAATTGTTTAGCTTGATATGTACAAACACTAAAGCTATAAAAACCTTTAGATTCGAGTAATTTGTCGATCTCCCACTTCACACTTATATAAGTGTCTTGAGCTTAACTCCAATTGAGTGGAACCTATAAGTTGTTTTTGTGGAGCCATGTGGGTGTAGGTATATTTATCTACAAATGATGTTATTGACAAATGATTTTAGTGATTTTGGTGATGACAACACCTAATGTCAAGCGGCGTTCGGTAGAGTCCTCTAGGATCTGATTAAGCAACCTCTAATGGTGTTGTATATCAAAGAAGTCATATCAAGCCTCGTCAATTAGGAGAAAAAAAATTCTCAAATGAAGTGTTGAATCAACGATGGATTAAACAAGAAATCATTATGCTTCAAGGTTGTGAAAGAGAGAAAGTGTGAAAGCTTATTTGATCATGTGTATGAATGATTAGTGTATTATAAAAGTATAAGAGTAACTCCTAAGTTACTAAGACAACTCTCTCTATCTCTCTCTCTCTCTCTCTCTCACACACACACACACACACATACATACAAAGGTTTTTGAAGCCTCTGTCATTTTGAAAAATCATCTGAAAATGTTTTACGCACATACATAGTGATTACTAGCTTGGTTAAATATACAAGATTGTGTTTTACACTAGATAAACGATTAACACACTAAGGATTTATCAGTTAAATATTTTGTAATGCCTCATAATATTTTAAATGAGCATATAATCGATTGGTGATGATAAATTTGAAAACCTTCCATATTTGGCCAATGTAATCGATTAACCATATGTCATAATCGGTTAGATGCATAAAGTCCATGTAACTTTTTCCTTTTAAAGCTACATTTTTTCCTATAAACAAAGGGTTTCTCCTCATTTTAACATACACCATAATTTGTTTTGAATCTCTTCTTTCTTACTTTCAACTTATTTTTTTAATATTTTAGTGAAGTTACCTTAGTGACTTGTGAGTGGAAAATAATTTTGAGAGTTTGATTATACTAGTGTTTATGCTTAAATATTCTTCATCAAAAGTGTGATTGTCTTGTTTGATTTCTTTGGTTCTTGATATTTTTCTAGTAAAATCATTCTTTGGTTTTTGGTATTAACTAGTAAAATCTATGTTTGGTTCGTGAGTCCAACTGTTAAAACCTCCATTTGGTTTGGGGAATCATATCCTGTGTAAAACCTTTCATCTAATGTAAGAAGGTTTTTAGGCATATTCTTGAAAGCTCAATATTTTTTATTAGTGAAACTCTCCAGAAGAAATTATTGGGAACAAGAGTATGTTAAATGGTTAGGCCGAATCGGTAGAAATTTTACTGCAATTTTTTTTATCTCCATCTCTTTATTTTCTGTCATTTAATTTTCTTTCTTCTCTCTTTCTATTTTTTACTGTTTTTATCTCTACATTAAAATAAAATATTTTTAAAGTAAAATTGTTCTGGACTGACCCAATGGTTAAGCATAGCCCAATCCACTTCTGCTTCCAGAACGGCCCAATTGCCTAAGTCCAACCACTTTGGGGGGAGAATTCACCTTTCTACCCCTCCAACGGGGGAGGCTGACCAATTTACCATTGGTTACAATACTCCTCCCCGCCAGTCTTTGCCCGTCACACACGGTTCCACCATCCAGAAACAACCAAAACGCTTGCGCACATAACTACGCTTCTGCCCGTGCCAACGACTAGTTATGGGCACGTCTGCCCGTCCCAACGGCTAGTTATGGCAGTTACCTATTCTTTAGGAAATGGTTATCTCACCTCGAAAATAGGGACCAATGGCCAAGCGCTGGGGGAACTATAAAA